GCATCCATACATAAGCTCATATTACATAAATGTAATACACACCATTTACCATCTAACCATTGGTGTTCTGCTCCATGACATACCATCACAAAATACACCGAAGATTTCAGAAATAAAATAGTGGTTGTAACAGTTACGCATTTCACAGTTGAACTCTGCATCTTAGGATCTCATTGGAAATGAGATCTACGAGTATTCATATTAGACACAAATATAATATAGTCATTTCATTTTGGACCATATAAATTCATTTATATATTGAACTTATATGACACCATGTATGATCCCCGTGGGAGTAGATGGGATCAAATGGAACAGGATTTATAGATCCTTTAATAGTCCCCAGCTGGGAGATCTATGGTGAGAGCAATGTAATCACCAGTCCATAAAAAAAAGTGCTAAGCCATCCAAGCCATATATGCATAAAGATCTCACACACCTATGGCAAATCCAGATCAAGCTCATGGTAGGTTCCAATGTTTTGCTTCCTTTGAGCAGCTGAGATTATATCCATTTCAGCATTGAAATCATCAATAGATTCTGGGATATTCTATTTGATGTATGCCATAAAGTGCAAACCACCATTGGGTAGATGGTAAATGGTGTGTATATGAGAATATTCATTTAAGCTCTTGACGCCGACCACACGCAAATTAGTGGCCTCACAGAACTGGGCTTTTTTTTCCGTGGGGGCCGCAAATTTGTGTACCTGCCTTCAAAGACCGGGGTGTCACTGAGAGCCCTGGATCCCATTCTAACGATCGGGACCCGGAACTCCCAATTCCGGGTCACCTGATTGATGTGATAGCTTCTGATTGGCTATCACAGTGATCAATCACTGTGAAGCCCACCCCCCTTGTTTTTCTCTCTATGAATGGGGAAGAGAGATACATTGTATCTATCGTTGTCTTTTCAGAGAAAAAAAAAAAAAGCGTGTGTAAAAAAAAACAAACAAATAATAGAGAAAAAAAAAAAAACCTAGATCAAGGTTTAAACTAGGTCTGTGCCAGGGTTAGTGTTTGGGTCAGCGTCAAAGGTCAGGATCAAGGGTCAGTCATTTGTTTTTTTGTTGTTTTTTTAAGTTAGTATCAGTGTCAGAATAAAAAAAAAAAAAAGGCAAACTGCGCACTGTTGTTTCTGGGCTATACTATGGCTACAAACAACAACATACATGTGGTATCGCTGCAATCTGTCAGGAGCAGGAGAAATTATTTTGGGTTGTTCTTTGGTGGCAGGTTATGGTAGTAGCCAAAAATATACAGATACGTTTTAATTTTTTTTTTTTTTTTTTTTTTTTACTATTTTGGGCCAGTTTTCCTTTGGTAAAAAAAAAAACAAAACAAAATCAGGAGATATCCACTATCATTTACCACCAAATGAAAGCCCAATTTGTCCTGAAAAAAATGTGGTATAATCTGCCTGGATGCACAAAGTCATTGTGATAATATGTATAGTTTGGCTAACACATGTCAAAGTTGCAAAATTGTGCTTAGGTGTTAAAGATTTGTTTGACCCTTCGGCACGAAGGGGTTATTATAGACTAATGTATGCATATGAATTCTTAATAAATATTTCATTAATTTTGTTTTATGTTTTTATGCAGAAATTGGAAATAAACTATCAAGATCACGTACACCAATTATTCCTTTGTATGTGACACCTCAGAAATCTCAGATTCTTACAGCTTTGCTTGTACCCCCTAATTGGGACGTAGTGTGATAGGACAGAAGATTATAATTTGGTATATATTAGAAATTGTCATAAAAAAGTATTATTCTATATAACAGAAGGAAACCAGCAGAATGTCAGCTCATGAATCCAGCAAAACTAAAGGTCAAACTATTTTCACTGTAAAAATCTTTACAAGAAAAAATGTGGTTTATTCATTATTTTCAAAGGGATTTCTCATCAAAATAAAGCATCGAGACATGACTGGATGGGCAAATTTGCTTTGATTTTTCCAAATGAAACAGCGTTTTTGCTTTGTGGTGCTCAGATGCCATGATGCTCTGCTTTAAGAAAATGTCAGCTCCAGGGGCGGACTGACCATTTGGAAACTCAGGCACTGCCCGAGGGCCGGGGTCAGTAGGGGGCCCCATGAGATGCCCCTGGTACATAGGCTTTTTTGAGTTTGGGCAAGGACACAGGGGCCCCATGATCCCCTATTGCCCGGGGGCCCCATGAGTTGTCAGTCCTCCCCTGGTCAGCTCTATGCATATATTACATGTTTATCTGAAGAAGCACACTGAAAGTTACAAACAGAAATGAAGACAGTGTAAAAATGAAAAAAGCATGACACTTCAGGACTGTTGGCTACTTCTGACCAATTGCCACAGTTTATGTACTATTCAAAGTGTACCGTGATTGCACGATTCTCAAAAATGACAGTCATACTATATATACTGTACATATATGTTACATATACAGGGCTCAACAAATCCCAGGTGCCAGATTGTCATGGCGATTAGAAATTGCGTCCTGGCACCTGGGTTCATATGCT